ACCCATCCCCCGCGTGCCAATGACCGTGTTCGACCACCCGCAACTCGATCCCATCCCGCCGTGCTCCTTCACTTGCCACACCACACTCCTCTTCCTCCTGGTGGCGGCACAACCTCCTTCCTCTTCCTCTCCGTCGTGTGCGAGCGCGTGGCATCGCGTAATAAATTTTGCGCTTCTATTATAGGTAGTTATAAATGGGAGAAGGGATAGAAGATTTGGAGTTGCTTACTCAAAAATGGTTGGTCCGTTTTTTACTAATTCCGTTATTATTGTGCGTGCGTTTTAGCGTCACTTTTGTTTTCTCTACGTGTTTCCTGTAAATTAAGGAATTAGATGATGATGATGAGCATCTGTAGTGTGGGCCAAGGAGCTAGGAAACATACATGGGATTACTGCAAGCGCATGGCGTGGCGATGGAACGGCACCAACAGCCAGGCAACCACTACTACCATCCCGGGCCCCGGCAGTCGATCGACCACCCATGATGTGACTATGTGATGGAGAAGCAGATCGATTTGAAGCGAACAGGAGCTGCTGACCCGGCCGGCCACGTGGGCTGCGCGAGACCACCGGCGGCCTCCGATCCTGCACGGTCGCACGCACCGCCTATCCGCCATGATGGATTGGTGACGATGATGCATGGATCTGCTGCAGGCGGCTGTCTGTGTCATAGAACGGATCGGATCGGATCACTCGGCCAACGAGCCCGTGCTGTAGCCGTTGTACTTTTACGGGATGTGGAGGCACGCGCACCTTGGGATCGGATCAGATTAGAGAACTGTCTTGGGGGTATTTGGTTGGGCAAATGTTCAACCCTGTCACAACGAATCTTTATATAGTAATCAGGAGTATTAAACATATATCCTAATTATAAAACTAATTATACAGATTGAGACTAATTTGTGAGACGAATCGATTAAGTCTAATTAGTTTATGATTTGACAATGTGGTGCTATAGTAAATATTTGCTGATGATGAATTAATTAGGCTTAATAGATTCATCTCGCTAATTAATCTATTCATGTGTAATTAGTTTTTAGCTCATATTTATCCCTTCTGGTTAGCATCCGAACCTAACCCCTGATCAAACATCCTCTTATTGGTGGACAGATCGAGCGACAAAGAACAACCCGCCACTTGAGCTAAAGAAGCGAAAGTGAGAGGGACGGAGACTTTCCATCGCTTGTCCGATCGAGTGCAGATCGGAGCAGCCCACTGCGAAGCGATTACACAGCTAGCAAAGCATACACTGTCCGCTCACTACACTGGATGAGGTGCTGGCCGGAGAGCGGATAAGAAGGCCTACCCGTAGTCTACTGTATCATGCAAATTAAATAATGTCACACACATGCATGCATGGTACTTTTTTTTATAAACAAAGCTAGCATGCATGCATGCATATCACAAATCAGATATGCGTACGTGCGTTGAGTGAGTTGGCTATTGCATGGCTTGAATGGATATAAGCAGTACTTTTTCAGTCAATAAATAATATTTTTCTCTCATAACAAATTAGTCCATCGTACTTTCAGTTATGCCTTATCGGTCAAACCAACATGGCAAAAAGAATCTCAGTTCCCAGAGCGATGATGCGCCACTTGGTCCGTCCAATGCAGAGAGGAACTGATCTGCGCTCGCACAGCACACAGGTTATAAATCATTAAAAGAAATCCGACAACCATGGAAGGAATCAACCCTGTCATGGACCAATGTTTTGGCACCACGAGCCAGCAACCAGCATGCATGCCGACTTGATTACTTCGTTGTCCAACTTGCAACTTTAAACTAGGTGCAAGATGCAACATCAACATGTATTTCAATCCTTAAGATGGTCCAAACCCAATATATTTTTAATCCTCACAATGTAAGGAGTATTATACTGGAGGAAAGTCTTCAAAAATTGATTTTTTACCTTTAATTTATCTTATGAAATGTTGCCAATTGCCACATTGAATATGAATCTATTAATGCAACTTTTTTACACCAAATTAATATATGACTAGCTTTTGCCAATTTATGGGTCCAATGTTTCAAAGGCGATCACAGAGAACGTGCTAGCGACGATTATGCATGTATGCATTGTGGAAAAAATAAACTTTAAAGACATGGCCTTGGAGGCTCCAACCAACCCTCTCTTTGATCTTCGTTTTTAAAACTCTAAAGGCATGGCCTTGGAGGCTTCATTTGACAGAATACTCAGATTTGCTCAGTCCCTGCCTCCCTGTGTGGCATATAGGGCACAAGCACAAAGTATCGGTCAGAGTAGAATGTGAAGCATTATTCCTTTTTTAAAAGAAAGTCACTCCTGGGGGACATGCTCAAGGCCTTCCTCTCAAACCTTTTAATAGAAGGAACTCTTCAAAATTACGGCTGACCTTTTGATTTATCTTATAATATATAAAAGCAGCAACTAACGTCTTAAAATTCTCGTTAAATAAGAGTCTATTAATGTCATTTTGGTACACTAAATAACTACTCCCTCCATCATGAAATGTAACAAGCGATTTTCATATAAAGTAAGGAGCCTGCCAAAAGACAACGTTGCCCCACACTAATTAGGATGAAGGGGGTAGTTTCTGGTTGTTATTTTCCTTAATTGTTGGCAGGTTGATTTGGTTGATGCCAAGTTTAAAAGGAATCTCAATATTTCTTGCCAAAAAGACAGAGGCGAGAGAGGGATCCATAATACCTTGTACTATTTTGATACAAACTTTGAACTCTGGATCTCTTAAATTTTAGGATCAAGGAAGAATATACTAACTATTAGTTAAAAGTGGTAATATTGACCCTTTTAAGTGATGAAGTGAAAAGACGCCTTACATAAAGGGAACAAAAACATTTCAGTTACACACGTCACTCGAGACATCAGCTTCAAAGACATAGTTGATCTAGTGTCTATGGTGACTTGATCGATTTTAAAATCTATTGACCTAATATTAGGACAGTCTTAAGAATGCAATGTGTGCGTGTGCTAGTAGCGGCGAATACGTACGCATGCACATATTTTTGTGGAAAAATATGTCTAAGGACATGGACCCGGAGGCTCCGACCAACCCTCTATTTACCTTACTGTTTTTAATTAAACAACGCTGCTATATAAGGATGGATCCGGATGTCCAAATATTCGAAACATCCGTATTCGTTTTATAGCAAATATGGATATCCGTATTCATATTCGATTTAAATATGGATATTAAATGGATGTATTCGTATTCATTTTTGAAGTTTATTCTCTATCCGATTCCACATCCGTATCCAATAAAAATATAAAATATCCAATAATATCCGTATCCGGGAAGTACAAATTATTTTGAAACCATCTAAATCTTACAATTATGACTAATTAACTATGTAAATGACAATAAATTCAAAATAACAGATGATATTTATTATTATTTAAAAGTTATCTAAGGCTAATATAATTTTAATAATATTAACAATATATAAATCTCGAGTTAAATTAATTTTAACATGGCTAATCATATAATTAGTATTTTATTTTATATTGTATCATTTTTAAATTTATTTTTATTTATCTAAATTCAATAATTAATATATATAATCTTTAATTTTATTATATTTTATATATTTAATGATTAAAATATTTTATTTTTAGTAGTTGTCTTTATTCGCGGTGTTATATAGCTATATGTTAAATCCCTTCGTCCATAATGATTTTTTTATACTATGAAACTATCAATAATAAAATAGATACATGTGATCTTCAAAATCAAGTGGATATCCGAATCCGAATCCGAGTTCAAGATATCTGTTTTATATTAGTATCGACAATATCCGTATTCGTATTCGAATTAAAATATGATAAATAGTGCTATCCGAATCCGTATCCGTCCGCATCCGATCCGAATCCATCCTTACTGCTATACATACGGCTGTTTCATGAGATTATATATATATTAATTACCTTAATCCAAAAAGGCAAAAAGGTCAATACCAACGTTTGCTTAATCCAAAAAACGCACGTGCCCCATGTGCGTATTCCTGGTCTGCCCACGTTATTATATATACAAGCAAGCCGCCTCAGTCTTCTGCCGCACAACACAAACCACCCACCCGCACACACATTTCCCGACCCAACCTTCTTCTCCCTGTTCCACACCGGAACAGAACAGAAGCGCCCGCCATCGCCATGGAAGCAGCAGCAGCCGACTCGTCGTTGCCATGGGCGGCGCAGTGCTTGGGCGCGGCCCTGTTCGCCGCCGCCCTCTGCGTGGCGGCGCTGGGCGTGGTGCTGACGCTCCTCCGGCGGTGGCCTTGGTGCAGCTGCCACGTGTGCCGGGCGTACCTGACGGGGTCGTGGGCGCGGGACTTCACCAACCTCGGCGACTGGTACGCGCAACTGCTCCGGGACTCCCCACCGGCACCGTCCACGTCCACGTCCTCGGCTGCACCGTCACCGCCAACCCGGCCAACGTCGAGTACATGTTGCGGACTAACTTCGACAACTTCCCCAAGGGGAAGGCCTTCGCGGCGGTGCTAGGGGACCTCCTCGGCCGCGGCATCTTCAACGTCGACGGCCACGCCTGGCGCCACCAGCGCAAGATGGCCAGCCTCGAGCTCGGCAGCGTCGCCGTCCGGTCCTACGCGTTCGGGATCGTCGCGCAGGAGGTGGAGTCCCGCCTCCTGCCCGTGCTCGCGGCCGCCGCCGACGCCGGCGTGGTCGTCGACCTGCAGGACGTGTTCCGGCGCTTCGCGTTCGACACCATCTGCAAGATCTCCTTCGGCCTCGACCCGTGCTGCCTCGAGCTGGAGATGCCCGTGTCCAAGCTCGCCGACGCCTTCGACACCGCCACGCGCCTCTGCGCCATGCGCGGCGCCGCCGCGTCGCCGCTGCTGTGGAGGGCCAAGCGCCTCCTCAACGTCGGCTCCGAGAGGGAGCTCAGGAGGCCATCGCGCTCGTCGACGAGCTCGCCGCCGCCATGATCCGGGAGCGCCGGAAGCTGGGCGTCGCCGGCAGCCACGACCTCCTGTCCCGCTTCATGGCCTCGGCCGGCGACGACGCGCACGAGGTCGACGACAAGTACCTCCGCGACATTGTCGTCAGCTTCCTCCTGGCCGGGCGCGACACCGTGTCGTCCGCGCTCACCACGCTCTTCATGCTCCTGTCCAGCAACCCAACCGTGGCGGCCACCATGCGCGCGGAGGCCAGCGACGAGTCGGCTCCGCTCACGTACGAGCGCCTCAAGCGCCTGCACTACACCCACGCGGTGCTGTACGAGAACATGCGGCTGTTCCCGCCGGTGCAGTTCGACTCCAAGTTCTGCGCGGGGCCCGACGTGCTCCCCGACGGCACCTACGTGGCCGGCGGCGCGCGCGTGACGTACCACCCCTACGCCATGGGCCGGATGCCGCGCATCTGGGGCGCCGACCACGGCGCGTTCCGCCCCGACCGCTGGCTCACTGGCCCCGGCGGGGCGTTCGTCCCCGAGAGCCTGTACAGGTACCCCGTGTTCCAGGCGGGCCTCCGCGTCTGCCTCGGCAAGGAGCTCGCCGTCACCGAGATGAAGGCGGTCGCCGTGGCCGTGGTCAGGGCGTTCGACGTCGAGGTCGTCGGGGACAGTGGCGCCGCCGCCTGCGCGCCAAAGTTCGTGTCCGGGCTCACCGCCTCCATCAGCGGCGGGCTTCCAGTGAGGATCAGGAGAGTTGTTCGTTAGAGATTCTTGGGCTGTTTTTTTAAGAGAGAGATGTTGTTTAGGGAACACTGTACAGTGCACAGTTGAATCAAAAGCTCCATTGAGAAGTTCTACATCCATGACCATGGTCTGTTTGATGCATGTGCCCTTGGTTCCGTTTCTGACGCTGCAAGAGAAAGCAAACTGAGAAATCTACACTGTTATAACCACCGTTTGATGAGTCCACTCTCCACTGGCGTGTTAGCTACCAGTTGTTTTCATTCATCTTCACAATGTTGCATGTGAACCTTGCAGCTTGCATTGCATATACCGTTCTGCGATCCAGTTCCCTTCTGTCTTTCTGAACCTGTCTTTTTTTTTTCCATGTTTCAAAAGAAACCATCATCAGCTTCATGCAGGGGTTTTTAGTCACTTGCCAACTTGCCAAGGTGTTTCCATCAGATTCAGAGTTTCTGGCCGTCCTGAATTCCTGGTGAGAAATCAATGAAAGAGCCAGAACTGGCCGAACAAGATGAGTCGTGTAACAAAGGAAACTATACATAAACAGTGACAAGATGGTCCCCCTGCAAATTTCATTGCCTAAATCTTCAACGTAGGATCCACTCTACAGTGTGTTTGCACATAATAGAAGCAAGCAACTGCGAACCTGCAGTGACTTTGCTGACTGTATCTTTCTGTATACCGATACAGATTTATCTTCAGAACGCTGACAAGCATAGACGGTGTTGATGAACTGTGCTGCTCGTGCTAGCTGTTGAAGGGAGGATTTGGGGAAAACTGTGGCCTCCTGCATTTGTCTCATCAGTGAGATGCTGAATCTTGATCCAAACAAGAGAGGGAGCCCCCCCTACTGACTTTATTAAAAGAAACATAACAGGTCCAGCAAGAAGTAAATGTCTTTTCAACTGACTTTATTAGAAAGGAAGAAAAAAAGATAAGCAGGATCACAACAATGCTTGTAGACATGAATCAATCAAAAGGAAATGTCTTTTGTTCGCCCTAAGGAATGCTGAGATGCTGAATTGCTGATGAACTTTTAGCTGATGTGAAAGTGGACTCATACATCTTCTCTTTGCCATCGTCAGATTGAAGAATAGTCGTCGTAACGCTAGAATAAGAACTCAATTGTTGCTCTACTGGATAAGCAAAAGCAAAGGCCTTAAATGTGCTGCAAAAATTGACACCAACTTCCCAAGATGAGATAGGCAACATGCTATCCTCTAGAAAGTCTCCCTTTTTCTTGCCCAGTTTTTCTCCAGGTGTCCTTTTTTCTCTGAATTGTTTTTGGAAGAGATCCTTATCCTTTTTTCTTTGAATCTTCCCAACACCTTTTCCAACTCATATTTCAGACAATACGGCTTGAAGTAAAGTGGCCGGTGTCCGTGAACCGCTCACTAGTCTTGCCGATCACTCGCTAGTGTTGCCGAGCACCCACTAGCCGTGCCGGCTAGAGCTAGAAGAAGAAGGGAGAACAGAGCATCTAGTCCTACAAGACACCAATGTTGGCCGAAGCCCTGTATGAGAGATGGCGAATCTGAACTCTCTTTTCTGAGTTGCCGTGGCAGTTTATTTATACAACTCTATCCATCTAGTCCTAGTACAGCTGTCATGCTGCAACAGTGACTAGATAACACAGCAGGGTTGACTCTACGCCGACCTCTGCATGTGGCTACAGTGCTGCAGATGAGCCGTTCGGCTCCTGCACCTGCAGCGGCTACAGTATCACAGCAGGGAGCCTTTTCGACGCCGTCTTCCCTTCCTGTGTGTTCACACAAGGAAAGCAGTAGATTATTCTAACAATTCTACCCCTAATCCTACTGCTATCCCTTGTACCCCCTCCATGCCGATCATCTCCTTCAGCTCCGTAAGTCGAAGGCGTCCGAGCGGTTTGGTGACGACGTCCGCGAGTTGCCGAACAGTTTCGTAGAACTCAATGACGATCTGCCCTCTATCGACACAGTCCCTGAGGAAGTGGAATTTTACGTCGATGTGTTTGCTCCGGTCATGCAGAACCAAATTTTTCGTGAGGGCGATGGCGGGCTGGTTGTCCACCATCAGTGCTGGTGGGTGAGCTTTCATGCCAGTCAGCACGCCCAGCAGCCGGCGCAGCCACACAACTTGGCACGTACTCTGCCTTGCACGTAGATAGCGTCACCACTTTCTGTTTCAGCAACAACCATGAAATTGGGGCCGACCCGAGGAAGACGTGCACGCCAGAGGTGCTCCGTTGTCCGCCGATGTCCCCCGCCATATCTGCATCGCTGAACACAGTGAGCTACAGCCTACTTCCGCCGGTCTTTGGGAAGATGATCTCCTGATCTACCGTCCCCTTGACGTAGCGCAGTAGCCGCTTCACCGCAGCCCAGTGATCCTCTCTGGGATCTTCCATGAAGCGACTGACGTAGCCCACGGCGAACGCAATGTCCGGCCTCGTGTGGACTAGGTAGCGCAGACCGCCGATGATGCTCCGGTAGAATGTTGCATCCACCTTCGCCGCGGTGTTGGCCTTCGTCAGCTTCGGCCGCTCCTCCATCGGAGTCACGCATGGTTTGCACTCAGCCATGCCGCTCCTCTCCAACAGCTTGGAGGCATACACGCTCTGACCGAGCGTGAGTTCCTCCTTCCCCTGTCTCATCTCGATGTCGAGGTAGTAGGAGAGTGCGCCGAGATCGCTCATTCAAAAACAAGCCGTCATCTCACGCTTGAAGCTGTTGATGTCCTCTATGCGCGCACCGGTGACGATTAAGTCATCCACATACACGCCAACGATGAGCTCCTCCTTCCCCCGTCGCCGCGTGTAGAGCGCGTGCTCCGTTGCGCACCTCGTGAGCCCAAGCTCATCCAGCGTGGCGTCAAGCTTGGCGTTCCATGCTCGTGGGGCCTACCGCAGCCCGTAGAGCGTCTTGCGCAGTCGAAGCACCCTGTGCTCCTCTCCCTTGACGGCAAAACCTGGAGGTTGCCTGACGAAGACTGTCTCCGCCAGCTCGCCGTTGAGGAATGCCGATTTAACGTCCAAGTGATAGACGCGCCAGTCCTTTGCTGCTGCCATCGCTAGTAACAAACGAACAGACTCCATGCGCGCTACCGGCGTAAAGACTTCCTCGAAGTTGATGCCCTCGCGCTGTACAAAGCCTCAGGCCACGAGGCGCGCCTTGTGCTTGACAATGGCGCCGTGCTCGTCCCGCTTGACTTTGTACACCCACTTTAGACTGATCGGACGGTATCCTGGAGGTGGATCGACGAGCTACCAAGTCTCATTTTTCTCGATCAAACCTTCATCTCCTCCAGCATCGCTCGTCGCCAGTTTGCATCACGCTCGACCAGCGTGAACGTGGGTGGTTCCTTAGCACTGACGAGTAGCAACTCTACATCATTGAGCAGACGACCAGTCAGGCCTGAGGACCCTGTGCCACAGACGATGTCGTCCAGCCTATGGAACCGCACCTCCTCACCTTCATGGTAGGCGTCCACGAACTCAGTGATGTCACTTGGAGGTGAGGTGAACTCGATCAGTGTTGATGGAGTTCCCTGTTCTACCGGAGTGCTCAGCACTACACCTGGAGTGCTCGGCACCTAGGTTGCAGTGCTTGGTATTGCTTCTGGACAGCTCGTCATAACTCTTGCAGTGCTCGGCACGACTGCAAGAGTGCTCAGCCTCAGTCTTGGAGTGGTCGGTACCATTGTAAGACATCTTGGCTCCGTCACTTGAGTGCTCGGCACCCGTCCTGGAGTGGTCGCCACCACTGCAGAACCTCCCGGCACCACTCCTGGCGTGCTCGGCATCCCTCCAGGAGTACTCGGCACTCCTTCCGGAGTGCTCGGCATCCCTCCCGAAGTGCTCGGCACTGCCCCAGGAGTGCTCGGCTCTATTGCTGGAGTGCTCGGCACCCCCCCCCCCGGAGTGCTCGGCACCTCTTCCCCAGCGTCTCCACCACTGTGGATGACCAGATGCTCAACAACGAAGGTGCTGGTGAAACCGCCAGCTTCCCCATGCTCGGACTATTCCAGTCCTAAGCTGCCTTCTCGTCAAACACGACGTCGCGCGAGACAAGCACCTTGTCTCCGCGTAGGTCATAGAGCTGGTACGCCTTGGTACCCTCCGCGTAGCCTAGGAACACCATCGATGTGCTCCTATCCTCTAGCTTGGTGAGGTTCGGCTTCGTCTTCCTGACTTGGCTGATGCAGCCGAATATCCGGATGAAGGACATGCTCGGCTTGCGCCCATACCAAGCTTCGAATGGCGTCTTGCCCATCAGAGCCTTGGTCGGAGCACGGTTGAGAATGAACACCGCTGTGGTCATCCCCTACCCCCAGAACCTTTCCCTTCATGCCTTTGGCCTTCATAATGGATCGGGCCATGCCGACCACCGTTTGGTTCTGTCGCTCCACCACACCATTCTGTTGTGGCGAGTACGGCGCGGTGTGCTATCGCACCACACCCTGATTCGCGCAGTACGCAGCGAACTCCACCTAAGCAAATTCACCGCCGCGATCAGTCCTCAGCACGCAGAGCTTCTTGCTCGTCAGGAGTTGCAGCCACATGTAGCGACTACAATCATCCATGAGCAGGAGGAAGTACCATCGACCACCGTTTGTAGCAGGCATGATCGGTCCACAGGGGTCACCGTGGACGAGCTCGAGAGCGTCCTTCGCATGATACTTGGCCGCCTTTGGGAATGGTAGCCTCCTCTGCTTCTCGGTCAGGCAGCTGTCACACAGCTCGCCTCCATGCTTGATGTGGGGTAGCCCTCGGACCATCTTCTCCAGCCGACCAAGCGCGTCGAAGCTGAGATGTCCAAACTGGGCATGCCATATCCACAGTTCCTCGGTGTGCCTTGCCGCCAGGCACATCGGCTACTCTACCTTCCGGTCGAGCAGGTACAACTGGTTTAGGGACCTCTTCACCTTAACAAGAAGTCGCTGCTCCTAGTCCCTGATCCTAAGGACTCTATCGTTGATCAGTACCTCGCTACCGCGCTCATCCAGCTGACCAATGCTGATGATGCTTGAACGCAGCTGCG